CTTTTGCATAACACCACTACCAGCTGTAGAGAAGATTCTTATCTGCAGCACAGGTGACCCAGTCTGGCCTTCTCCTCTGGTTAGGGCTTCAGTTATTCATGTATGGGAATTACAAGCTGAAGCTAATAATCGCCACTTTATGCAACCCCTACACTGGCAGTCACCAAGACTGTCCATCTTCTGTCCACAAGCTCCCCTATTCAAGGATGAGGGATATCTCACCTTATTGCTCTGGTTGCCTGGCTGCTATCTAGCTGTCTGCCTTTGCAAGCACAAATCTACTGTTCATTATTTGTTGCACATCCTCTGCTCCCCTACTGCTATAGTTTTCTCCCCCATCCGGCCCACCAACTATGTGCTTTCCCCTCCAGTCCAGTCTGTGGCTTCTGAGGTCAACAATAGAGAGATTCAGTAGAGCAGATGCTGCTCCCTCTCTTGGGTTGCATTGCCCTGTAATACTCTAAACACTACTAAATTTCAGTTTTTCCTACTCTCTGCATTGTGGTTCCTCTTTTTTTAATTTAATTTTATGTATTTTACATCATTTTTCATTTTTGCACAATACACGCATTGTCATCTTGATTATATTCCCCATACAATTACCACCCCCCCCTTATTTTGACCCTAATCCCTCCTCTCTCCCCCACCCCCCGTAGTGTGTCTCTGGTTTGCTTGTTGATTTTGATTTTTACTTTATTATAATTAGTCTTTTCCTGGTCCCTTATTTGGGTTTTCTAGATTCCTGCTATGAGTGAGACCATCCCATATTTTTCTTTTTCTTTCTGGCTTATTTCGCTGAGCATGATCCCTTCCAGCTCCATCCATGTTGCTGCAAATGGCATGCGTTTATCTTTTTTGAATGCTGAGTAATATTCCATTGTGTACATGTACCACATCTTCTTGATCCAGTCATCTATTTTTGGGCATTTGGGTTGTTTCCAAAGCTTAGCTATTGTAAATAGTGTAAACATAGGGGTGCAGGTGCCCTTTGGAATTACTGTTTCTGTGTCATTTGGGTAAATACCTGGGAGTGGAATTGCTGGGTCATATGGAAGCTCTATGTTTAGTAGGTCCAGAAATCTCCACACAGCTCTCCATAGCGGCTGGACCATTTTGCACTCCCACCAGCAGTGCAGGAGAGTTCCTTTTTCTCCACAACCTTGCCAACATTTGTTGTTGCTAGTTTTTTTTTAGTGCCATTCTCACTGGTGTGAGATGGTATCTCATTGTGGTTTTGATTTGCATTTCCCTGATTACAAGTTATGGTAAACATTTTTTCATATGCCTGTTGGCTATTTGCATTTCCTCTTTGGAGAAGTTTCTTTTTAGTTCTTCTGCCCATTATTTGACTGGACTATTTTCTTTGTTTTTGTTGAGTCTCATGAGCTCTTTGTAGATTTTTGTGGTCAGTCCTTTACATTAGTGTTGTGTGCAAAAATGTTCTCCCAGTCGGTGGGGTTTCTCCTCGTTTTGGTTATTGTCTCTTTTGCTGTGCAGAAGCTCTTTAATTTGATGTAGTCCCAGCTGTTTATCTTTGCCTTCACTATCACTACTTTGGGTGATGTGTCTGTAAAGATGTCTTTGAGATGCATGTCATGTAGTGTTTCGCCTATGTTTCCTTTGATTATTTTATGGTTTCAGGTCTTATGTCTAGTTCTTTAACCCATTTGAGTTGGTTCCTCTTGATAGAGTCATCATCTGGTAGTCCTCCAGAAATGGTTATTTTTATTTACATACAGTTTGGTTGTAAATATGTGGGGGGTGGTGAGCCAATGTCCTCACTCTTCTTCCATCTTGCCTGATTTCCTTGGATTCACAGATTTGGAGGATAGCAGGAATAAACTCAGAAGAAGGACTTACAAGTAGGAGCATGAACTCCATTTGTGGTATCAGATATCCACAGTGACAACTTGAGAGTCATGAATAATAAGAAAAATGGAACTTGAGATATAACAGAAGGATGGGAATAGAGATGGGGAAGGAGAGAATGATACTGATTAGATTTGTCAGTAAATTGGTTAATCTGTATTGTTATACTTTTAAGGATATTATTGCCTTTAAACATTGATGTTGATACTTTTAAGGACGTGATAGGCTGGATTTTCAGGCCACATCTGAATTAATTGAGTTGAATTCTGAAGTAGTACTTTAAGAATGGTTATCTAGACAATTTTAGGTTCATTTTGAAAATAGTAGTGGCACAGGCGGTTGTGTGCTGCGCTGTGAAGCTGTCTGCAGCCTCTGCAGCGCTGGTTCGATCCCAGCCCGCCAGCGAGGGTCCCACATGGTGCAGCAGACCTCTTCTGTCGTGCCCACTGCTTCCCTCAGCAGTGTATTTCGTCATTCTGCCTGTTCTGTTCCCCGCTCTGTCTCTGGTGAATCCTCTCACCCTCTCACACATCTGGCCTGTACCCCGATTCTTGTATAAATAAATAAATATCTATTAAGAAAAAGAAAATAGTAGCGAGGATTGGGAAGAGATTCCATGTTCTAAGATAACTGGTTAAACTGAGTTTGCAGAGGAGACATGGAAATCATGATCATTTTTCTTCATCTGTTTGAAAGCTATGTAAGCAATTTGATTTTGTTTTTGATGAACACAAGGCATGACATTTGAACTAGTAAAACTTTAAAGAGGTGGACTTCAGTTCATTATGAGGAAGTGAACTATACTATTCAAAATCAATTGCTTGAATTATGCTGCTTATTCTACTGGTTAAAAATATTTTTTGCGTTCCTTGGAAATAATTGGATAAAAGAAATGTTTGTTAGCTGACATGTCTTCATCTTCAATATCTTTTTCCCTGCCCCACTGCTATAGGGAAATAAAGGGCAGCCTTCTCTGTCACAAGAGATTGACCCCTGGCACTCTTGGCTACCTCAACTACCATCTTTGCTTCTGTTTATTAAGCAAAAAAATTACTCTTCTGGAAACTCAGTTTCCATGTGGAGGATTTGAAAACTGAAAATCTGAAAAAGAGAATTGCTCCTGTTACAAACCTTACAATTACTATATATATCCTTAACTTGTCAAAGCTTAATGTAAACTTGTTGATTTATGGTTTTTTTTTTTCTCTTCTCATCAATGCAGAAACATGAGAGCACGTACTCCTTGCTGAATATGTGCTGCTGTTGTCATGCATTTTAGTGCGAAGACCTCACACATCATTTTTATGTAGTCAATACTCATTTAGATCTATGTGCATATTTGCTTTTTTTCATTGTCTTTATAATCCAGGTTTCCATCTATGATCATTTTCTGCCTGAGGGATGTCCTTTAGAATTTCTTTTTATTGTGGGTCTATTGCTAGGAAAAATATCTCTAACATTTTTTGAAAGTATTTTCACTAGATATAGACTTCTAAGTGAGAAATTACTTCCTTTCAAAACCTCAGAGATACTGTTTCCATATCATAGCTTCCATGGTTTCCCTTAAAGTATTTTTGGTGATTCAAACTTGTGAAGTCTCTAATCAGTTTGGAAAATTTTCAGACATTCTCTCTCCAAATATTGCTTCTTTCCATTCTCTTTTTAGGACTCTACATCTTTTGTTTTTGTTTTGTTTTTTTGCAGTACATCTCCTATAACTGTTATGTTCTATGTTTCAAACTTTTTTAAATCTCCTAGTTTCATTCCCCCAGTGTACTGATTTTCTCTTCTGCTATGTCTCCATTGTGGTTAAACTCCTCCATTAAGTTTTTAATTACGTTTATTGTATTTTAAGTTTAAGAATTTCTACATTATTTTATAATTTTTTTGTTGTTGTTGTTGACCTACCATTATTTTACACCATTTGTTCATAAGAATTTTTCATTTTAATGGCCTCCCTGGTGGTGCAGGTGGTTGAGCGCAGTTCTGTGAAGCTGTCCGCAGCCTCTGCAGTGTGGGTTTGATTCCAACCTGCTGGGGAGATTCCCACATGGCGCAGCAGACCTCTCCTGTCTCGCAGGCTGCTCCCCTCAGCAGTGTATTTCATTCAGTCTGCCTGTTCTGTTTCCCACTCTGTCTCTGGTGAATCCTCTCACCCTCTCCCACATCTGGCCTGTACCCCAGTTCTTGTATGCATGAATAAATAAATCTTTAAAAAAAAAGAATTTTTCATTTTAGCTGCCTGACTGGATTTCAATTTCATTTTTCTTTGCTTGCATATGTTCAGCATAGTTATTTTAAAATCTATGTCTGATAACTCATTGATTCCTTGTAGTTTTGTCTCTTGTTGGCTTCTTGTTTACGGATTTTGACGTCTTTAATTTTGTATAGCTGGTTACTGTTAGTGATAAATATTAAATAAGAAAAATTGGAAAGCTAATTTGAAATCTTGGATGACACTCTTCTCCAGAGAGGATTTATATTTGATGCTGTCCAGGTTTCGGCACTTACATGCAAGGCCCCTGAGTCCAGTTGGGGATTGAGATGACTTAAAGCTGGACTTCATCCTCTGTCGGGGCAGGTTACAGTTTGTCCTTTAGAGTCTCAACCTAAGGTGTGGGAGACTTGTAAGGGTCGCTCCTTGGTGAATGCTGATGTCTGCTTTTTATCTTCCTGGCCTTGTGAGTTTTACGCTTCTCCTGATCTCCTTTTTTGTAGTTGAAGGAAAACCTAAGTGGGCATTAAAGGCCTGCTTTCTGGTGGTCCCTCTTCCTGATCTTAGCTCTCTAATTGTTATATTTGTGTCTACTTTTATAGTTCTTGGTCAGGGACTTATCCATATTACCTAGTCTAATAGTATTTAAATAGTTCCATCTTTAGTTGTTTGGAAGCAGAACCGCTTCATGTATTTCATAAGTTTACCAAAACAGTGTTCTGTTTTGGGTCTTGACTTAATATTTATTTGTTTTGTTTTTTATTTCATGTTTTAGTACTCTTTTTACTTTTGTGATCCTCACTCATCATCAGATAATAAATGTACACATTCTTTATAGACTATTTTAAAATTTTCTAAGTAAAGTAGTATTAATGTTGTTTTTAAAATTAATTAAATTTGCTTATTTGATTTTTAGGATAACTTTCCATTTGATCCTCCATTTGTTCGAGTATTGTTACCTGTTCTCTCTGGAGGGTAAGTTAAGTGATTATTGTCTTTGATATGTGCTTTAGAATCATATCACATAATTTGGAGGGCTAGTGAAACCATTACATTGTTTATAGAAAGAGTTTTTAATGACCCCATTTGTATATATTTCACCATAAAAATGTTTTTCAAATATATATTGTGATTGAAGGTTCAGAGAAAGTTAGGATCTATTTTGGGGCATTTGGGTTGTTCCCAAAGCTTAGCTATTGTAAATAGTGCTGCTATAAACATAGGGGTGCAGGTGCTCTTTGGAATTGATGTTTCTGTGTCCTTTGGGTAAATACCTACGAGTGGAATTGCTAGATCATAGTGGCTGGACCTGTCTGCACTCCCACCAACAGTGCAGGAGAGTTCCTTTTTCTCCACACCCTCGCCAACATTTGTTGTTGCTAGTTTTTTTAATATGTGCCATTCTCACTGGTGTAAGATGGTATCTCATTGTAGTTTTGATTTGCATTACCCTGATTACAAGTGATGTCGAACATTTTTTTATATGCCTGTTGGCCATTTGCATTTCCTCTTCAGAGAAGTTTCTTTTTAGCTCTTCTGACCATTTTTTAACTGGATTATTTTCTTTGTTGTTGTTGAGTCTCATCAGCTCTTTGTAGATTTTTGTGATCAGTCCTTTATCATTAGTGTTGTGTGCAAAAATGTTCTCCCAGTCGGTGGGGTTTCTCCTCGTTTTGGTTATTGTCTCTTTTGCTGTGCAGAAGCTCTTTAATTTGATGTAGTCCCAGCTGTTTATCTTTGCCTTCACTATCACTACTTTGGGTGATGTGTCTGTAAAGATGTCTTTGATGTGCATATCATGTAGTGTTTCACCTGTATTTCCTTCTGTGTATTTTATGGTTTCAGGTCTTATGTCCAGTTCTTTAATCCATTTTGAGTTGGTTTTTGTGCATGGTGTTAAGTAGTAGTCAAGCTTCATTCTTTTGCATGTAGCGACCCAGTTTTCCCAGCACCATTTATTGAACAAACTTTCTTTGCTCCAATGCATATTCTTTGCTCCTTTGTCAAAGATTAGTTGACCATAAATCTGTGGGTTTATTTCTAGAGGATCCCAATTTTGTTGGCAACCTCCAAAGCAGCATAGTCAGGAGCCAGTGAAACACCTGCCTCTTGAGCTCCATCAGCCTGATCAGGCCACATCAATGTCACAGAGCTCCTTCACAGTTTGTTTGATCTGGCGCTTGTGGGCCTCGATACTGCAGTGAACACAAGTCTGCTATTGTCGTCTCTCTTCTTCATGACTGACTCATGGTCAGAATGGTGATGATGGCATAGTGGTCACGCTTGCTTCTCCTGGGAGCACTCTTCAGGGGTTATTTGGGGTGCCTTTGGAGTCTCAGTGCCTTGGGCCTCCAGAAGACATGCCCACTGATATTTTTTCAAGTTCTTTTATGGAGCCACTGATAGTTGATAGTTGATTGTCCTTGCTTAATCCAGGGTATAATGCTTGAGAGAGAAACATAAAAATTGTTTTAGTTTTTTATCTCTTTGTGAGAGAGCTATTTGTAGGAACTGAAAATGCTTTATCTGTGAATGTAATGCAATGTATTATTTGTACTTGTATCACCCACAAAGAGAATATTTCTACTTTAGACAATCATGGGTTGTTTCTGTCTGTATTAAATGGAATTGTTCTTAAAAGTCTGGGTATAAGTGCCAACATTTTCTTTTCTCTCCCTCTTCGTACTGTGTTTTTAGAATCCATGCCCCAAACCTCAGAAAAGGGAAGGATTATGACTGTTTTCCATGGGCTGATAAACCTTCCCTTTTTTAGTGTGTTTTTTGTCAGGAATTTGAATATACTGTAAAAATTTATATTCACCTCTTCTTTGATCATTTAAAAGTTATGTATAGTCTCTCTTGCTGTGCAGAAGCTCTTTGATTTGATGTAGTCCCAGCTATTTATCTTTGCCTTCACTATCACTGCTTTGGGTGATGTGTCTGTAAAGATGTCTTTGAGGTGCATGTCATGTAGTGTTTCACCTATATTTCCTTCTATACATTTTATGGTTTCAGGTCTTATGTCTAGGTCTTTAATCCATTTTGAGTTGTTTTTTGTGCATGGTGTGAGGTAGTAGTCAAGCTGCTATGTTTATAGCAGCACTATTTACAATAGCTAAGCTTTGGAAACAACCCAAATGCCCAAAAATAGATGACTGGATCAAGAAGATGTGGTACATATACACAATGGAATATTACTCAGCAATCAAAAAAAGATAAACACATGCAGTTTGCAGCAACATGGATGGAGCTAGAAGGGATCATGCTCAGCGAAATAAGTCAGAAAGAAAAAGAAAAATACTGGATGGTCTCACTCATAGCAGGAATTTAGAAAACCTAAATAAGGGACCAGGAAAAAGACAAATTAATACAAAGTAAAAATTAAAATCAACAAGCAACTATAAACCAGAGACACACTATGGGGGGGGGGGCGCGGGGAGAGGAGGGATTAGGGTGAAAATAAGGGGGGGTGCAATTGTATGGAGAATATAACCAAAATAAAAATGCATACATTGTGCAAAAATGAAAAATGATGTAAGAATTACATAAAATAAAATATTTTAAAAAATAAAAAAATAAAAGTCATGTATAAAAATCATGTAACACTCCAGTGTGAGTAATGGTTATATGTTGTCCCCTCATCCATGTCATTAAGTAATCATCAGATCTTGTGAATGGGGAGGTTAGGTTAGGTAGCAGACATTCTTGCCAGAACTTCCTAATAAAAAAATTTAAAATAACACTATGCCTGTGTTTGTGATTGTTCTTTTTCTTTCCTAGTGTCCTTGAATTGTCTCAGTATTCAGCAGGAACTTTGTTGCAGACAATGAGCAATAAGAGTATAGAATATATTGATAAAAACAAATGTAATTCAGTACAGATGTAGGAAACTGAAAATAGCAACTACTTCTTTCACAGGTGTAAATGCTGATGATAATAAGAGTTTACTTACCTCGATTTTTATGTATCTACTAGAATTCTATCTTCTCGTTAGACATCCAACAAACATTTGTTATTTGCTTGCAAACACATTTAGCTATATGTGCTTGTAGAAAATGTATTTACTTCTCTTCTTTCCGCCTGACTAGACTCTGGACCCTCAACATGAAGAGTGGGTGCTAAAAGAAAAGGTGGTGGTGGGATAATCAGTAACTCAGTCTTGTCTACATACCTTCTTTTCCCTAAAATAAGTCCCTCTTTGCCCTTAGCATTTATGAAGTGTAATATTCAAGAATGGTGTTGACTGAAACTTACATGATGTTAAAATGCAATGTATTGTTAATACTTCAATAAAGAATAAAATAATAGCAAAAATATCACAAAACTTAGTGTTACCTCAGTAACAGATTTATGGAGAAACCAAAATCCAGAGGAAAACCTGGATTTTCTAATTCTGTTAAATCAAGAAGTGCTTATTTAAAGCTCGCTATAAAGAAATTCTTTGAACCCAGAAGGAAAACTCAAAGAATTGGAGATAGATTTCTTTGTCCATAGAAGAAAGCATAAGGAAGTTTAAAATCCTGTGATTCTCCACCCATATTTAATTTTTGGAGTGTTTTTCTCTTTCCTTCACTTTAAATCTTAACTTTGAAAATTCCCAAAGTCGTCCCAAGCAAGTAAGAGACACACTGACTTGAATCCTCCAGGATGGTGGAGTTATTGAACAATTTTTATTTTTTGAGAAATTTCATTATATTATTGATAGTGGTCTACAGTAGATGTTGTTAGATTCCTTCTCTGTAATTTGGTTGAGTCAACATGAGGATGCATTTGGTTAGCTAGAATGCCAGTCTAGCAGGTTAGAATGGTCTAGGCCAGTTTTGCTGGGGGGAAATAAGGCATTTGAAAGAGTAGTAAGCAGAAAGAATTTCATACAATGAAAAGGCATGGACAAAATTCCAGTTGGCAATAAACATTTATGGTGGACTTAATGTTCATCAGTCTAATCAGTGGTCTTGTGTATACAGTTTCTCATCTATAATTATCATTTCCTTCATTTTATTTTTAGGCCTGATATTTAATGTATTTTGAAGTTTAAAATGTCATTCAAGAAACAGCTGAAGTTATTTTGAGGAAGTGCTAAAAGTTCAAAAAATCTTGATCTAAATAATGGTTTCCTAAGGGAGCTCAGGAAGATCCCCAGAAGTTGTCTTTGTTTCAGAGCACAGTCCTCAGGACTAGAAAGGGAAATTAAGGAGGAACTCTATGATCAGAACCATTTGATATCCTCAGAAATTAGTGGATAAAAACAAGTTATGTCATAGGATACCATATAGATGTTCATTATTATAGATAAAGTTGGTGCCATTGTCAGAGGAAAAACTCTTGGTTGTGTGACATGAAAGAAATTTTTCATGAATAGAATGTTCCCATTCTCTGAAATTCATATTTAGGGCCAGATTTCTTAGTTGCTGCTGTTTTTAAAGTCTTAAAGTATTCTGTTTCTAAAAACCATTATCAACTCTATTATAGTAATGACATTAGAATTTTATATTACTTAGTGTTCTAATCTTTTACGTTTTTGCACGTAATCTTTTAATCTTCTATGCATTCCTTTTTTCAGTAATGGTTCTTAAAGTTAGCATTTTTAAGAAGGCATACTGAGATCCAGCGAGCTTTGTATGTTTCTTCTTTTAAAGGTACGTGTTGGGTGGTGGAGCATTATGTATGGAACTTCTCACAAAACAGGTGACTATTACAGTTCTTACATTTTTCAACCTCAATATAGTGTTTTGAGTCTGTAGATTAGATTCTGAACAGAATACTTGTGGTATAATATAACCTGCTGAAAAATTAGTTTTTAATAGCACTTGCTTTTAATAATGAAAAGTCTATTTAAGATAGAACAGTAAAATGACATTGTATTTTGTGCTTAATTTATGCTAGGACAGGTATTAGTCATGCTTGCTTCAGGTTATAATTTACTCATGTTTGGCATATAAAATTTGTTTTGTTTTTGTGAAATTTTGGAACTATTAATTTAGTTTCTCTTCTTGACTACAAACTGCTTAAAGTTGATTGGCTCTTGTTGAGTTGTTACATAACAGTTTGTTAAGTGGGACTCAGGAGTACCATTGTGTTTTAGAGAAGTGTTTTTTTTTTCTTCTTCTTCTATAGGGCTGGAGCAGTGCTTACTCGATAGAATCAGTCATCATGCAGATCAATGCCACCTTAGTCAAAGGCAAAGCCAGAGTGCAGTTTGGCGCAAATAAGGTATTTTAGCTAAGAATGTCACATAAACCACAACATATATTTCCTGTTACCTTATGAAGCTTCTTCCTGTTCATTTAATCTTTATTATATTTACTATAGATAAACATGTCTAATTTTACATTATTCATGTGTATATATACTACTAAGTAAAAAGTTGTATGTACTTTGAAGTTTCCCCAAATTGAGTTCATTTTGTAACAGTTAATTTCCAGTGAGCATTTGCATGCTACACCCTACACTTTCTACTTGGGTTAACCCTTTCAATCACTTCAGTAACCTAAAAGTAGTGCCATTACTGTTCTCATTTTGTAGATGAGGAAACTGAAGGAACACAGAGGTTAGATAATTGGTCAGACATCACAGCAGAGTGAGGATTAGACCCATTTGGGCAGTAGTCTCTGCTGTTAACCCCTGAGTTCTGTTCTTTGTTCACTAACTACATCAGAAACAGCTCCCCATGTCTAATTGTAGTTATCTATAAATATTTAAATGAAAGATAGTATGTTTTGGAAAAATATTTGTGTAATAGAATTCATCCTGAGCTAATATTTAAAAAAAAATTGGATAGTCTATAAAGTTCTGTGTGAATTTTGTGTTAGATGTCTATACAAACAGCACTAAATCTAAATACATATTTATAACTGTATTGCATGTTAGACATTGAACCTATTATAATCTTAACTCACAGAGGAAGCAACATCTGAAAAGGCTATTTTTAAAAATTACTTGTTTGGGGATAATAATGTACAGTAACTCATTTTTGCTTTTATCTCTTTTAACAGCTGTTTTTTGGAATAGTGAAATCCTTGAGCACACAGCCATTATTAGGGTGACTCCTAATTTCTTTTGGTAATCAGAAAAGGCTCCTGTCTTTCTATGCTGCCCACAGTTATTTATCTATAGAATTCTCTAGTTAGTGATCACATTCAGCTGAGAGATCTGAGTGGTGGTGGGTTTTTTTTTTTCTTCCAGTAAAAGGGGAGTTTTATCTAAGGTAAGCAATTCAGTTTTCTTTTTCTGAAAGAACAGAGTTGGGGAGCCAAATATGAGAAGCCAGCCAGCATAATCCTGAGATTCTCTCAGGAATATCAAGTTTCATGTTAGTTGAATCCACAGTTCTCATCAGAAGCACACATAGATACTCTTCAGAGGAAAAGTTTTCTGACTTAAGCTTACAGTATTCCCTAAGATTAAGATCAAGCAAATATGAATTCATAGTCAAAGATCCCGAGCACACATATGGTAGGCAACCCAGAGAACTGTCAGAAATAATGAAGAAGAAGTGTATACTCCCAGACTTTAGGTTTTGAAATTATCAAATACATATTGAAGACTTCAGATGTTCGAATTGTAAGAAAATGAGTAGTTAAAATGTAAAATCTAGTGTAAAAAAAAAAATCATAACATTGAATAAACCTTCAAGAATGGTGAGACAGATCTATAAAAGAATGAAAGAGAATTTATAGAAATGAAAAATATAATTACTGAGCAACTCAATAGATGGATTAGACATCAGAAGAGAATTGATTAGAAGTAACTCAAAGTGTTGCACAGAAACATGGGGCTAGACAATATGGCAGAAGTTATGAGAGGTAGAGATCAGAATGAGGTCTAGAACAGTCCTGTTGGAATCCCAAGGGAGACTACAAAATTATATTAAAAAGTAAGAGAAATAGAAATCAGAAAGCAAGGTGTAGAAGCAAGTCCAAATAAATCAGTTATAACAAATGTACTAAAGTTAACCAGTTATCAGATTGAATTTAATAAAAGACAATCCAGTGATTTTTATGAAGTATATTTAAAATATGAGAAGACAAAGACTGCAGTGTTTTTGTTTTTGTTTTTGTTTTCAGGGAGATTGATAAATACATGTATACACTAACAAAAAATGATGCTGTAACTGTAGGATTTTGAACAAAAAATGTTAGTGACTACTTAATGATAAAAATCTTATATCCTATATTTTATCCTATATTTTACTTTTACCAATTAAAATAGCCTCAAAATACCTATTATAAACCTGACAAAACCATAGCCCACCATCAAAGTGGGAGATGTTAATATACCTTGCTTTCATAGTAAATTAAACATGTGTCAAAAATATTCAAAGATTTGGGGCCTCCCTGGTGGTGCAAGGGGTTAAGATGCAGCACTATGCAACTGTCCACAGTCACTGCAGCTCGTGTTCAATCCCCCAGCCAGCCAGAGAGCTACCCACATGGTGCAGCAGACCTCTCCTGCCTCACCCGCTGCTCCCCTCAGCAGTGTATTTCAGTCAGTCTGCCTGTTCTGTTCCCCACTCTATCTCTGGTGAATCCTCTCACCCCCCACACCTCTGACCTATACCCCAGCTGTTGTATGCATAAATAAATAAATCATGAAAATTTTAAAAATACTTGAAACTGAACCATGATGAAAATACTAAAATTCTATTTCTCCCTATCTCTCCACTTCTATCTGATCTATTTGGAATAGTCACAAAACTCATCATCTTCAATAAAGAAAACTTCAAATTTTAATTTTTTTATTCTTACATTGCTATAATCCCCATAGTTTTCCTGCCACCGTATCACTCATGAACCATAATCATATTCCCTTGTGTTCATCTCTTCCGTCTTGCCCCCCATCAACCCCTCTTCACTGTATGTGTCCTTTTTACCATCAGCTTGCTAAAACTCTAAATTTTTAAAGAGTAAAAAGGACAGATGTCATTCCCTGATCCTAATTAGATAAAATTGTAAGTTAATAATAAGAGCAGAAAACCAATGTTCCTTTGTGGAATTTAAAAACTCAAAGAGCCCTTAACAGAGCTTTGAAATTAAACCTGCAGAATATCTAGATAATAGCAATAATGAAATCACTATACATCAGACACTAAAGGAGAACCCAGGGGAATACTTGTTGCCTTTAAAATCCTTAAAAATATTTGAAGAAGAACAAAAATGAATCAAACCTCAAAGTGTTAGAAAGGACAATTGAATAGAGAAAAGTAGAAGGAAGAAACTAATAAAGGTATAAGCAAAACCAGTGAGGGAAAACAACAGAAAAGGCCTACTCCTTGTTAGGGGAACAGTCCTTTTCAAGTGGAATGTGACTCATGCTGTTGGCAGCTAAACTTGCTTCCTCCTGTCTGGGTGGTGGTAGACTTGAAGAAGTGACTCCTCATGACCATGTGGGAATTTCACTGCATCATATATGCATCATATTTTGTCATATATGGTCTCTTATTTTCTTTTTGTGAAAATATAGACTGACTTTGAAAATAAGTTTTATTAACTTGGAGACAATGCTAGGGCGCATTTTTAAATTTTAGTTTTTTAGATGCATAATGGGAGGGTTTTGCTATTTTTATTTTTTATTTATTTTTTTTAAAGATTTATTTATTTATACAAGCACTGGGTACAGTCAGAAGCGCGGGAGGGTGAAAGAATTCACCAGAGCCATAGCGGGGAACAGAACAGGCAGACTGATGAAATACACTGCTGATGGGAGCAGTGGGCGTGGCAGGAGAGGTCTGTCATGCCATGTGGGACCCTCGCTGGCGGCCAGGTATCAAACTGGCACTGCAGAGGCTGCGGGCAGCTTTGCAGCCCGGCGCTCAACCGCTGTGCCACCAGGGGAGGCCTGGTTTTGCTATTTTTAAACAGCAGTTAGAAATTGAAAAAGACAACTCTAGAAAGTGGGAAAAGGGGGTAAAAAAGACTTTATTGAAATAGAAATAAATGATATGTAAACAATGGAGACATTCTCAGCCTAACTCAACAGAAATGCAAATCAAAACTACATTGAGGGTCCTTCTTTCACCTGTTACATTGTCAAATGTGATAAGGATTTGAAGAAGTATTCTCTTGCTTTGACTGTAGCGGCACAGTCATGACTGACACACTGGCACATTTATTAATCCTATAGAGGGAATTTAGCAACATTTCACACTTAACAAAGGTCAATATATGTTTTTATCCAGCAACTCCATGCTAAGACTTTGTATCAGTACTTGAAACATGTACAAAATTGTTTACATCTCATTGTAACAGCAAAATATTGAAAACAATGGAATATTTCACTGATAAAAGTAGAGAAAGGCCAGACTTTCTATGTATTAAGAAGGAACAGGGTCAAAGCTATGTTGAGTGAGAAAAGGGGGAGTATGGTGTCTATAGCATGCTGTTAGCTGATTGTTAGGCAAAAGCAGGGGACCTTGGCTAATGTCAGTAGATTATACATGAATTTTTTTGTTAAGATATAAGGAAACTACAGTATCTAACTTGGGTGAAAGAAGGATGGATGAGGGAAGAAACTGGCTTGGAGGTTAGTGGGAAGGACGCTTCACTCATTGTTTATTCTTTAAAAAAAAAGATTTGTTTGTTTGTTTGTTTGTTTGTTTGTACATACAAGCACTGGGTACAGTCAGAAGCATGGGAGGGTGAGAGAATTCACCAGAGCGGGGAACAGAACAGGCAGACGGACAAAATACACTGCTGAGGGGAGCAGCGGGCACGGCAGGAGAGGTCTGTGGCTCCATGTGGGACCCTCACCGGCGACCAGGGATGGGGATTGAACCAGCGCTGCAGAGGCTGCAGGCAGCTTCGCAGCCTAGCACTCAACCACTGCGCCACCAGGGGAGGCCCTCATTGTTTATTCTTGTGCTGTGTGTATTAGCAAACAAATTCTATGACAGATAAGTGTGTACTGCTAGTGAGGATGCTCATAATTTATTAATTGAAAGTTAGGTTGTGGGGGCCTCCCCGGTGGCGCAGTGGTTGAGTGCTGGGTTGCGAAGCTGCCAGCAGCTTCTGCAGCGCCAGTTCAATCCCTGGCTGCTCCCCGGCCACCGGAGGAGGGTCCCACATGGCGCGCAGACCTCTCCTGCCTCCTGCTGCTCCCCTCCGCAGTGTACTTCGGTCCTTCTGCCTGTTCTGCTCCCCGCTCTGGCTCTGGTGAATTCTCTCACCCTCCCGTGCTTCTGACTGTACCCAGTACTTGTATAAATAAATAAATAAATCTTTAAAAAAAAAAAAGAAAGGTTGTGGTCAGTCATCCTGATGGGGTCAAAATTAGTCCTAAATTTGGCTCCTTAAATACTGTTTTAAAGAGTACTAAGGAGGAACTCAGTAATGAATAGTCTGGTCCCACTTGTGGACATTCTTTCATTTTTTTAACCAAAATGGTATTAATATTTTCTTAACTGAAGGTAAAATTTTGTAGTTTTTTTGGGGTTTTTTTTGGATTCTACTAATATCTAAATAGTATCCTTTAACTGTATTCATCAATGTGGAGAGGACCACTAGAACTATAAATCTTTGTACTTATTCACTGCTAGGAGGACTTGTAAAATGAGGTGTGAAGGTTATAGATTTTTACAGAGTACATTTTTGGCCTTGTTATACTAAAATGATAGAGAATAACAAAATTAAGAAATTTCCTTTTGAAATGGAAATATAATTCTGTTTTCTGGATTATTTTAAGCACAGAGGTGATGTATCCAGAAGTTGTTTGCAATAATTTTCATCAACCTTCAATTCTGATTTAAAATGTATAATTTTCTTTCAGAATCAATATAATCTAGCAAGAGCCCAGCAATCTTATAATTCCATTGTACAGATACATGAGAAAAATGGTAAGTCTAAACGTTTTTCAACTTCTTTTTTTTTTTGTGCACAGAAGAACAAGGGTGTAGGCCAGAGGTGTGGGGGGGATGAGGGGATTTACCAGATTCACAGTAGGGAGCAGAACAGGAAGATTTACTAAAATATGCTGCCAGGGAGCAGTGGCTGAGACAGGAGAGGTCTGCTGTGCCATATGTGGGCCAGCTGCCTGGCCGGGAATCAAAGTCAGGCAGTAGAGGTAATCACACTGAGACTCAAACCCTAGGCCACCAGGGAGGCCTGGTAAGTATAATTGAGCAAGTTTTTTCTTATGTTTTGCATAATGTGCTGTTAATAGTCATCCTGTTTTATTTTCCTGTGTTTGCTTTCATTACTTATACAGTACTGTTACCACAGTGAAAACATTTAATTTGAGGATAACACATGCTGTGTGTGCTTCCTTCAAAATCTTAAATACTTAGCCTGAGAACCTCTGGGTCAGAGTTATGATTTTTGAGTAGATTAATGAAATGAATCACTTTACTCACTTATAATGTATGGTGTTAGGACACGAATTGTTACAGGTGACTCTACAGGTGGAGTTCTTTTATAACTAAATAAATGTAATCAGGATCATGAGACTACTTAATGATTTTTGACATTCTTAACGCATTTATCTATTCAAGTAAAAATAGTTCTCATTTCAGTGTATACATAAAATTTATTAAAATATCTTTAATAAACTTGATTGGCCTTACTTTAAATTTTGCTTATATTCCCAATGCATGTTTTGAGTTTTTGTCTCTTAATAGTGAGGTTATGAACAAGTTGACTTGGAATTAGAAGACCTCTTGTCAAGTGACCTTTGTGTCACTTCCTAGCTATTTGGCCCTGAGAAAGTACTTAAAAAATACTCATATCTAAAATTGGCATGATGTTTGTGTTGCTAAACTTGTAAAGAAAAAAAAAATAGTATGTATGCATAGTACTTTGCAAATAAATGCTAATTATATAGCCATCATAGTGAAACTGATGCTTCAGGCAGAGCAAATAAATGTATAGGAAATAGTTTTCTTTAAGAGCAGTATTTACAGTAAAGTCTTATTTGCTAGAAATGTAGTAGCTTATGACTTAAGCTTGTGATATTCGCTTCTAATGACAAAGCAAACATCACTTGCAGTAATTGCTTCTGAAAGAAAATATTCTAAACAATTTTCAAGTTTCAGCAAAGGGAAATGATAAAGCTTGAGGAAGGCCAGGTTGTCAAAATAATCATTCCCAGCACTCTAAATTAGTAAATACAAAGATAACTTGTCTGCTATTTCATAACTTGATGGATGGTCCATAAATCTTGGTATATTCATACTGTTCCAAAATGGCACTTTCAGACCAAACGGTAAGTGGTTTATTCTCATTTCATTTTCCATAGAGAACTTTGTTCTAATCTCTTACTTATTTTTTATTGAAGTAAACATTGCAGGTTGCATTCCAAAGCCTTGATGGAAAGTGCTTTCTTTGAGAAAGTGTGGGTATTTGTAAACTTAACTATGGTACAAGAGCAATAAACTAAGAATTAGGTGGTAGATTCTAGTTTGGCTTGTATTACTAACTGATCATAGGCATCATCACTACTTAAATCACTATAGCTGCTGAAATACCTTCCTCACTGGTGAAATTACGTCATTATGTAATAATCCAAAATTGTCATCTTATTTTAAAAATGCCAGGATTTTGTTTGCAGGATAGTTATTTTCAGTGAGGTCTGTTTTCAAATACAGAATTGAAATGGAAGAAAACCTCGTTTATAGTCTAATGTTCCACACTTTTATCTTTACTTAGAAATGCCATTAATACAGAATTCTAATATTGAAAATGCAAATATAATTTATTCATAGAAAATTTGTCATGAACATATCAAAATTACTGTTACCAGTGTAACTTACCAAGTATAAGTTTTTCCACAGTTGATTTAAAATTATAAGTGGAGAAAGTAGCCATAATTAAAATGGCATTTCTAGAGTTGATTTAAGAATAAGTATTTTAACTTTTTTTTTCCCCATTCTATTTCAGGCTGGTATACTCCTCCAAAGGAAGATGGCTAAATGTGTTAACTGATGTATGTTTGGACCAATGTTGCTTTAAAGAAATTCTTTCCAACATGCAGACACAAGCTTTGAGTGCCCCTACATTAGCAATACCGAAGATGTTAGCTAATAGAAATTTTAGTGGATAATTGCCCACTGACATCCAGTATAAGTTGCAGTCTTTTCATTTTGCTCATTTTAGGACTATCTCGGACTGAGCAATGGGGCCTTTACTGTATTCTCCCTGACAAAGACATATACTGGCTACTCACTCCTTATCATCTGTCTTGAAAAGTGAGACCTGTGAAGCAGGCAAGTGAGCATCAAGTTACTGCAACTTTAGGGTACCTTTTCTGTATTGAGCTTATGCATTACGAGGACTTGCAATGTAGTGTCCCATTTAGAGCCAATAAAAATTTAATTGATGTTTAATATTGGTTTAGAAAATTTAAGGTCTTCTAAATCACAGTTAACTTTTTCAGGTTAAAATCACTTTATGATATTGTCAAAATAATGACAGGAAACCTACTCATTAAACTTTTTTTATGACTATGAAAATATGGACTGTTTCCTGAAAATATGCTCTTAACTGAATTGAATACATTTTGGGCAAAGCAAAGCAAGGCTATGCCAATTAAAGCGTGTAATTAGTCATTTCCACTGGGGCATCAGAGTCTTGCTGGGCTGAGTCTGCTTCTTGTTGGTTCAATATTTCTTATGAAAAAGAGCTGCAGTACAGAGCTTGAAATTATTTTAAAAACTAAGTCGTTTTATGTACCCATTTTATTATCGGGGTGTTGCAATCATTTGTAAACCAATAAAACTCATAAAATGATTGGCATTGACTCATTGGGAAAAAAAATCTGCACCATTAAGTCCAAAAAAAAAAAAAATCTAATTTGGAACTCTTAAAAATTTTGCTATAGTCTTAACAATGGCTTTTACATCAAAAGACTAATAGGAATTCCACTTACATTAATTATTTTATAAAATCTGACTCAAATCAGTGTGCTTTCCATTTTATTGCCTTACCTGAGTCAGTTCTGTCTGATTGATAATAGACTTTTTAATACACCCAGTTTAAAAGTAAACTCTAGTTATTAAGCACTTTTAAAAAGAAATCCAAAAGCACATTTTTCTGCACAAACCAATTATAAAGTTCAAAAGTGTTTCTTACGCATTTGTTTAAGATTCAATTTTTAACTTATCACATCTGAGAGACTTGTTGCTGCATTATTGTGTGTTTAATTTCTTTTTATTCTATTTTGGCTAAGAGGACAATAGAAAAGATTTTCTGTCATCCTTGTTCACTTGGTTTCATTTGTGTAAAGTTCTGATTGCCAGTTGCTCAGAGAACAAGTGACAAGGCAAAAATCTTTAAAGCGTTAAAGTTCCTTAAACCTAAGGCTAAATCTTGAATACATTATTGAATTCTTTAATATCCCGGTGGCTAGCAGATAGATAGCTACAAGTTTGGTATGCCTTCTGTTTTTTGTTTTTTTTTTTTTTTCTGTATTTCAGTGCAGATTTATTTGGCAATGTACAGTAAATTTTGTAAACTTGCATCAAGTTTATGAATAAAGACCATTTTAAAAACTTTGTTGTTTTTCTTCATAAAAGATACTCTGTTCCAGGTATCTGTAGGTTCAGTTGAGTTTCTGGAATAGAATTGTTCATCATGATGTATACATGGTGAAGAGGCTTGAGAGGAAAATCCATTCTGATGGAACATGAGAAAGCCAGAGAACCCATAAATGGCGTGTATACTCAGGTTTCCTCAACCTCTGCCCTCTCCCACACTCATTCTTTACTGTATTTTATTTATTTGTTTGTTTGTCTGTTTGTTTTGTTTATACATGCACTGGGTACAGTCAGAAGCGCGGGAGGGTGAGGGAATTCACCAGAGCCAGAGCAGGGAGCAGAGCAGGCAGAAGGACCGAAGTACACTGCTGAGGGGAGCAGCGGGCGGCAGGAGAGGTCTGCGCGCCATGTGGGACCCTCCTCCGGTGGCCGGGGAGCAGCCGGGAACTGAACCGGCACCGCAGAGGTCGCGGGCAGCTTCGCAACCCAGCACTCTACCACTGCACCATCGGGGAGGCCCTCATTCTTTACTGTAAATCCAAGTGCTTTATTCTTCAAGGCTGCCCTCTTGGTCCTGCAGTTACAATAATTTTTCTCCCACTTCAGCAGACCCATAGTCTTTTTATGCACAATTGTCAGTTTATCTCACTTACAAGAGGTCCAGAGGTAGATAACCCCAGGCACAGTATATCTGGGCTGTGCTCTGCTTTGAGATATTTCTGTTCATTTCATCTTTTGATTGACTGTTGTGTCTGGATGTGCAGCCATTTTATTCAGTGCTAATGTATGGCCCTATCATGTAGTGTCTCCTTAGGATGTGAGGCAATCTCAGAACGCTTTTCCTTGTAGAACTGGGACCTGTGTCCAATCCTAAGCTAATGAAACCATAATGATTTGTTTGGATCAGTGGTTCTAGCATATAATATTCAGGGTGCGCTGAACCTCTGAGACACTTTTAAATAGGTTTTTAAGGTCAAACCATTTTCATTACACAAAAAATTGCTATTTTTGCTCTCATGTTCACAAATTTTACTTTATAATTATTTTCCAGACTACATGATTTGATGTTACAACAGACTGAGTTCAGAAGCAAAACTAGCTGTCTTCTATGAAGCCAGAAATTAGATTTGCAAAATATAAAGCAATGCCACACTGTTCACTGGGGGGGGGGTAGGAGTTATTTTTCACAAAAATGTTACTTTGTTAGCAGTGATAGTGAAGGCAAACAGCTGGGACTACATGAAATTAATGAACTTCTGCACAGCAAAAGAGACAATAACAGAAACAAAGAGAAACTCCACCGACTGGGAGAACATTTTTTCACACAACACTAATGATAAAGGACGACCACAAAAATCTACAAAGAGCTGATGAGACTCAACAAAAACAAAGAAAAACAAAAATTGGGCAGACGAGCTAAAAAGAAACTTCTCCAAAGAGGAAATGCAAATGGCCAACAGGCATATGAAAAAATGTGCAAAATCACTTGTAATCAGGGAAATTCAAATCAATGAGATACCCTCTCACACCAGTGAGAATGGCACATATTAAAAAAACTAGCAACAACAAATGTTGGCGAGGATGTGGAGAAAAAGGAACTCTCCTGCACTGTTGGTGGGAGTGCAAATTGGTCCAACCACTATGGAGAGCTGTGAGGAGATTTCTGGACCTACTAAACATAGAGCTTCCACATGATCCAGCAATTCCACTCCTAGGTATTTACCCAAAGGACACTGAAACAGTAATTCCAAAGGGCACTTGCACCCCTATGTTTGTAGCAGCACTATTTACAATAGCTAAGCTATGGAAACAACCCAAATGCCCAAAAATAGATGACTGGATCAAGAAGATGTGGTATACATACACAATGGAATATTACTCAGCAATCAAAAAAGATAAACTCATGCAGTTTGCAGCAACATGGATGGAGCTAGAAGGGATCATGCTCAGCGAAATAAGTAAGAAAGAGAAGGAAAAATACCGGATGGTCTCACTCATAGCATGAATTTAGAAAACCTAAAAAAGGGACCAGGAAAAAGACTTTATAATAAAGAAAAAAATCAAAATCAACAAGCAACTATAAACCAGAGACACACTACTGGGGGGGGGTGGGGCAGGGCAGCAGGGAGAGGAGGGATTGGGGTCAAAATAAGGGGATTGTATGGGGAATATAACCAAAATGAAAATGCATACATTGTGCAAAGATGGAAAAAGATGTAAGAATTATATAAAATAAAATATTTTTTTAAAAATGTTACTTTGTTAATGGGTTTAAGTGAATTAATGTTAAATATTATAACTTTACATACATAAATATTCACATGTAAATGTTAATATTCACATACATAATCTACAGAAACAAATTGTTTGGGTTTGTCAATATTTGAGTGTAAAGAGTCCTGAGGCCAAAATGTTTCCAGCCAACTGCTTTGGTTTAAGACGAATCAAGTTGACCCTCCAGATGGGGATCAAATCAGAGTTTTAGCAAGGAAGCCACAGGAAAAACAGAGTATTAGGTGGGGATACAACAGTGACAGCTGTGAGCTTGCTTTAGAATCACAGGAAATCTTAAATCACGAGAATATTAAAACTCAGAACACCTCTCACCCCTCCATTTTAGACTCAGTAGGCCTGAGGTGAAGACTCAGAACATACCAAAACCACCTGATATTCCTGACAGGGAACTAGTGTACTTTGAGGTACGCTTTCACAGCAACATAAGGTGCTATATATGCTGTTTGTGCATGTTCAGAGCATTAAAGGTTGCTGTCATGAATTAACATTCATGATGAAAGTGAAACTGGAACCATGACTGACTTTCGCGTACTCTGCAGCTGGGACAGCAGTGTCTTGAGGCTAATTGGCAGCAGTGGTTTCCCACCTGCTGCCCCAGCAACTGGTCTGTGCTTGGATCCAAAAGCAACAGCAGTGGCAGGAGTTGGGAGTTCCCATCAGCTGCCTGGAGCATGCTGCCTTGAGCAGGCCCTTCCCTGTGCCAGCTGGGTTTGTGTCCTGGAGGCCCTAAGTCTCCTGCAGTGTTTCCAGCGGCCACCCAGAGCGCTGCCACTGGGCAGTACTGAGGCTGCCCTGTAGTAGGAGGCTGCAGGATGGTACACGAAAGCCCATTTAAGTGGGTCGAGCTTGATGGCCCACCTAATGCTAGCCAGATTTGGTCACCATATGCCCCCCCACCCCTTTAGGCTCTGGCACCACCCCCAGAAACTGTTTGTGGGCAGTGCAAGCAGCAGCTGGTGATGGGTATTTTACCGCCCATCACCAGTGACCCCATTGTGGCTCAGGCCACAAGCAGTGGCCAGCAGTGATGGGGGGCAGCAGTGTTTCCCCCTCCATGCCACCCCAGGACATGCAGCCCCACTGGGGCTACAGAGGCAATGTTGCCCTGTGCTGGAGCAAGCTCTGGCTTAGAAGGCAACAATTAACCCCGCAGTCCCTAGTTCAGGCTGCAGGGAGGAGCATGGGCCCCACTGGGACAGCTACAGCAACTTGACTCCCTGGAGCCAAAGGCAGAAGAGGCCATGGAATCCCAGGTCAACATGTCTGGCTCCCAGTGGAGCCCAATCTGCAGTGCTCCTGCAGGTGCTCTGCCCTATGTTGTTACACCCAGCCCCACTAAAGGGCAACTGGGTGCAGAGTGCCTCACACTTGAGGCTGGTTCTGGCTGTGGCCCCTCATAGCCCACCAGCCCGATAAGCCCATAAGGTCAGGGCAGGGCAGGTCTGTGAGGCACCAAGATTTCCTTTTTATATTTGGCTCCTGGATCACAGAATGGACCAATCAGGTGTGAGCTAAATGAATCAATCAAGTTTAAGCAAGTTATTAATTATTGGGTTGAAAAATCAATAGGCTGATTGGTTCTAAATGGTCCAATCAGCTGCCGAGGGTTGAAAAATGGTCCAATCAGGCTTGCAGGGTGGGGGACCCTAAAAGAGGATATAAGACAGGGCAGAAGCCAGCTTAGATCATCCTGTTCCTGTCCTCTGACAAAAACAGAAGGATCCTGTTCCAATCCCCACAGATAAAAGAAGCATCCAGCAGCCAACCTCCAAAGAAAGAAGTTGCAGAGCTGTGCAGAGCCCTGGCCAATGCACCTGCCTCAGGCCTTGCCTCTGACATTGCCTGAAATGAGCACCAATGGCCTCTGGCCTAGTGTCGTGTCTCAAAGACGTCCTTGTTGTTGGTGTAGGCCAACAACTCACAAAGAGCTGTTTACATTGGTGATTCTGGCACCATCTCCTGGTGACTGGTGGTGACTGGCAGTACTGGCCACTGTGGTCCAGCACTGTAGACAGGTGACGAGCACTGTGTTTGGCTCAGAGAGCCCGTCACCACTTCGGATCATCAGCACCGCCTTCCAGTACTGTTGCGTCCACTGCTGTCCTGTCCAGCTCCCAGTGCTGGCCAGCCCTGCCTTCAGACTACTGCTGTGGGTATGCAGTGTCATCTCAGAGACCCCTACCTCTCAGCACCTCCAGCTGCCGCTGCCAGTTGATCCTGGTCCACTGCTTGCCAGTGTGCTGAGAGCCCCAAGCCCTTGTTGATGGAACAATGCCGTTTTGAACGAGCAGCCCTTTGTTTGGGTCTCCTGGACACTGTGGACAATATCTGGGACGAGCAAGCCGGCCTCTTGCGGCCTTAGAAATGCCGTTTGTTAACTACACGTCCTTGTTCCCTGGCCTAGGTGGTCTTGCAGTTGTGCAAGCAGGTACGACCCCATAGAGTGACCTGTCCCCTACCTTTGACACTGTCCTCGAAAGCCACGGCACTCTTTCAAAAACCGTGAGTCCCCCACACCGGATTTTTTTTTTTTTAAATAATAAATTTTATTTTTATATTCCCCATACAATTGCAACCCCCCCATTCTGACCCCAATCCCTCCCCTCCCGCCCCCCACCTCCCAAAAAGTGTCTCTGGTTCATAGTTTTTTGTTGATTTTGATTTTCACTTTCTTGTAGTTATTCGTTTTCCTGGTCCCTTATTTAAGTTTTCTAGATTCCTGCTATGAGTGAGACCATCCGGTATTTTTCTTTTTCTTTCTGGCTTATTTCGCTGAGCATGATTTTTTTTTGAAGATTTTTTTCCCTAATTTAAATTAACTGAGGTGTTATTTGGGTGCCCCCTCAAGCACCGCCGTCGCAGGGACCTGCCGCCACGGCCTCCCGGGACAGCGTCTCGCCCACTCCGCACGCGGAGCCCTTCGGAGCAGACGCGGGGGCGCCGAGGCGGGCACCTCCCGCCGCGCCGGGGGCCGCCCGCGACCGCGTTCCCCACCGCGAGGCCACCATCTCAGAGGCGGAAGCGCTGGGCTCCGCCCGACGGTGGGCGACGCGGCAAAGCAGGGTCTGACGCGGACGCGCCCGGGCGTTTCCTGCCGAGGGACCGGCCACACCGGCGCCCCGGCAGCGTTTCCAGGGCCGGGCGCGCGCAGGAGGGGTCGGCGCTTCCGGGCCGGGTCCTTCCCGGGCGGGCGCTTCCGGGCCGGGCCCTTCCAGGGCGGGCGCTTCCGGGCGGGCGCTTCCGGGCGGGCCCTTCCAGGGCGGGCGCTTCCGGGCCGGCCTCCCAGAGCGGGCGCTTCCAGGCCGCCTCCCGCGCCGAGCCGCCCGCGCGCCCGCGGGGCTGCAGGATGGACCCTGCCGGCGGCGGCCCCCGCGGCGCCTCCCCCGCGGACGCGCGGGGCGCCTTCGTGCTGGGGCACCTGGCGGAGGTGGTGGAGCGCGTGCTGGCCTTCCTGCCCGCCCAGGCGCTGCTGCGGGCGGCCGGGTGAGGCGCGGCGGCGGCGGGCGGCGGGCGGGTGGGCGGCGGGCGGGGTGGACGGGGGACCCCCGCGCGCCTCAGGGACGTGCCCCCCGCGGCCGCCTCCCGCGCGCCCCGGCCCCCCTCCCGGGTCCCGCGGGTCCGCCGGGCGGGCGGGCGGGCGGGCGGCGCCGCAACCGTGTCTGCGTCCGCAGCGTGAGCCGCCTGTGGAGCGAGTGCGCGCGCCGAGCGCTGCGGGCCCGGCGCCGCGTGGCCTGGATCTCCGCGGGCGCCGCCGGGCGGGGCCGCCGGGACGAGCACGGGCTGCTGCGCGCCGCGGAGGACGAGCTGCAGGCGAGTGGGGCCGGGGCCGGGGCCGGGGCCGGGGCCGGGGCGGGGGGCGGCGGGCGCGGGCCGGGGGGACCGTCAGGGGCGCGCCGGGCCTGCTGCCTCAGGGGCGCCTGCCGCCGGCCGCGCTGTCGCCTGCGCCGTCCTCTCGGGAGAGGCGGCCGGGCCCGAGCGGCCGCGCTGAGAGAGACGCCTCGCCCGGCCCGGCCCGGCCCGGCCTCTCCGCGCGGCCCCGGCTCGGCGGGCGCCCCCAGCAGCGGCGGCGCCGCCCTGACGGGACCGTTGAGTGGGACGCGCGGGGCACGTGCCCTGCGGCCTGCCCGGGCCTCGCCTGCTGCCCCGCGCCGTCTCCACAGCCGCGAGAGGCCGTTTAGAAGCGTGTTTGGATTCCGTCACGTTTCCTCGATGTTTGATCTGGAGGAGTTTCTCGAGCTTTGATTTTCACAGTTTGGGCAAGAATGTCAATGACAGGCCAGTTGTTTTCCCAGCACCCATCAGTCTGGCCGTGTCTCACGTTTCTGAGGTTGGGTTCACGTGTATCTGGCGAAACTCTGAGAGGAAATGCCCGCCCCTCCCCGGCGCCCTCGGCCCTGCCATCTCCCGGTGTCTCCTCCTTGGGCACGTCACCGTTGAGGAAAGCGGTGTCCGCTAGATGTCGCTTGCTTTTTCCCCACTGTAATTACAAAATTTCCGCTGAATTTTGTGAGGAGATAATTTGAGGCTGAGTAAATGTCCTGTTTCGGTTTATTCATTTATTATATCTGTGGACTCTTAGTCTCTTACTCAGTGGGTTGTAACACGTTAGTATCAGTTGCTCAGATGTCCCAAATTTGACTAATGGGCGTTCCTTCATCTGACTTCAGTATCTTTTAGCTGAGACTCAGTCTTCTTTCTTTGATCCCTTCCTTGCTTTCCAACACAAGATGTTCTAAGCCTATTTTATGTTTTGCCTGTTGCACTCCTGGAATCAGCAGTTTTTCCAAGGAACTCTGGTTCCTCTTAGTGGAGAGTGGTATTTGGAAGTCAAGATGGGCCTAACTCATTGGTCTTAAGGTTTGTTCCTTCAAAGTGCAATCAGGGGACAAGCTGAGAGGTAACCTTCGTAAACTTATGTGTGCATTATGTGTGTGTACATGTTTACATACACATACACACATTGACAACTATATATGCTTATATATGGAAATTCATGAATTGATGCAGATACATCCAATTCCAATCCACATAGGATTCAATTCATGTCTGTGCCTCCCCTTTGGACAGTGAGAACCCTGGTTCTTGTCATCCTTAATATATTTAGATAACCTTTTAGATGATTGCCCCGTTGGGTAATTGTTTCCCCACTTCCTTATGTGGGTTTTCTTTTCTTCTTAACCTGTCTGGGCTCTGGGACTTGGAGCCAAAGTGACTAGTATCCAAAGACAGGCTTGCAGAAAACTCTTCTTGGCACATTGGCCCCAGCCCTGCTCAGTCTTTTCCCAAAAGTTTGTTGTTGGAAAAATTCAAAATGCAAGCAAAGACTTCCATAGAAATTTTCTTTGGAGCATCATTTGTAGTAAGAAAAAACTGACCTGATGTTTACCTAGTAAATGAAGTCATTAAATGATAAACTACAAGGTGCATTAACAGTAGAGAAATGGAATTTACTGTGAAACATCTTAACAGTACCCCAAATTGCAGTGTACCAACACTTTTTAAAATCAGCATTGAGGTTTTGCTATATGTTAAATACTACATTTTATTCTCATCGTAAAAATTAGTTTAGAAGGAAAAATACATTTATCCTCTATATTCAGTTCAACTGCTTTGCAACTTATTTGTGCAATGAGAAGTGTGGTGGAAAACAAGTCTGAATCAGTTTGGGTGGTTAAGGTGCAAATGACAGGAATGTGAAGGATGTTGAATCTGAGATGGAAGTGCTGAGGTAGTCTAGGAAGAGGTTTGTAGAATAGGCGGCATGTAAGCTGTCACTTGAAGGAAACAATCTTACTTCAGGTGTGGGGAAGAAAGCTGAATGGGGGCCTTCCTGGTTAAGATGCAGCACTATGATGCTATCCACAGCCACTGCAGCAGGAGTTTGATCCCCATCCGGGGAGCTCACCCACATGGTGCAGCAGACTTCTGTCTCGCCTGCTGCTCCCCTCAACAGTGTATTTCAGTAGATCTTCCTGTTCTGCTCCCCATTCTGTTTCTGGGGAGTCCTGTCACATACACACACCCACACACACACTTCTGGCTTGTACCCCAGCTCTTGTATGCATAAATAAATCAATCTTTAAAAAAGAAAAAAAGCCGAATGACAGGAGAACACATATAAAACTGTGGGAGGCGGAGGACAGGAATAGTAAGCGAAGGGTCCCCATAAGAGACAAGTTGGTAAAGGCCTCAGTATTTAATTGGCTCTCAGTGAAAGAGGAATGTATGTTCCCTCTGCTGATGCAATGTTTTTGTTACTGTGATGCCTGTGCAGATAAAGCCAGTGGCATCCTTTGCTGGTACTTAATGTTTTTGCTTAACAGTTCAAATTTTTACTTTGAAATGAACTTCTTGAGTCAGGATGGAATGAGTTTGACTTGAAAAAATAATAGATGCACAGTAGATAAATGAGCTGAAAATGAAAGAGGATGAGTGAAACAGAAATGGACTCAATGCAAACATTGACCTGAAGCGGGGTGGAGGGACGGGGACGGGGGCGGGGGAGGGACGGGGGAACAACAGCAGTTTGGTACAGAGCACTCAAATTCATGTTAGTCAATTTCAGTTTTTTTCTTTGCAGAATGTTCTCATCTTACCACGGACAGTTCTTTACATGGCTGATTCAGAAACTTTCATTAGTCTGGAAGAGTGTCGTGGCCACAAGAGAGGTGAATATCAAAAGAAATTTGGGGGTTTTGGGGTTGTTTTGTTCTCCTCCTATACCTTCTTGCAAAGTTAAAATATTGATTACTCCTGAAAGCTACTGACCTTCTGAGACACTGGGCCTGCTCTCTGGAGAAATGCTTGAATATGTTGCCTTTCAACCTTGAAGAGCCTTTTTTGCTTCAAAGATTGATTTTTAAACCTAGTACAATCGAAACAAATTGTGTACGAAGGTGTTTTTCTTATTTTGAAATACTTTGAGCTTCTAGACACTTTCTATTATCAAAACAGGATGTATACCTTTGACTGTTAAAGCCTTTCATTGTTTATGTTGGGGCAGGGATCCATTTACCAAAGTTATCTGAAGATACTGTGTATTCTTGACTTGCTAAGAGGAAGCCATGGCACATTGTGACCCAAGTCTAGACTTTGGTATTGGATAACCATGGTCTGATTTGAAGCCAGATGACAATTTATGCAGTGAAAAAGTCATCCTGCTGTGCTGTCAGCTGAGTAGAAAGATACAGTATAGTAAGTCTCAATTTAGATGCTTCTGTTAAATTTGACATCATTGAGGCAAAGACAATGTCTGAACAAAGTGGAAGACTGCTGACACCAAAGTTCAAATTTAAAATATGAAACAGACCAAACTGGAAAAATACTTGTTTTCATCAGTTTTTAGACATTTTTGTAAAGTTTTTTGGCTTAAAAGGACTTAAACATCATTCAGTATTTGCTTTTATTTTCACATCATCAAATTTGAAATGTGGATGATATTTAACAGTAGATAGATGACTGACAGTTAATAATTTTGCTACTGTATTATTACAGCAAGGAAAAGAACTACTATGGAAACAGCATTTGCCCTTGAGAAACTATTCCCAAAACAATGTCAAGTCCTTGGGATTGTGACCCCGGGAATTGTAGGTAAGAGAAAAATACCAATCTGGTGATTTCTTTGCCTTGCATTGGTTGGGGTCCTATAGATGGGTAATTGTTTGTAGCTGAAAGCACATTTATATTTTGGTCATCAAAAATGCAATAAAATGGTATTGTATTATGGTATTATATTTGACTAACATTAATGTCCTTTAGGTTATTGTGCATAATATAGCAAGTCACAGGCCTGTCTGTATAAACCAAATGCAGTGCATTTCTCAGGAGCCATTCACAAGAGGAAAAAGGTCACATTCTGTCCCCAAACTAGAAAGCAGTAATGAGCTCTCTCCCTATTGTAAGTTCAAGTAGTGTGGTTTCTGGTGGGTATGACGGTGCAGGGCTGGGGTGTGGAGCTACAGTATACCGTGCTAGGAGACTTATGTTCTGCTATAAACTTTTGAAGGTCATGGCATGTAATCATATCCTTCTCCAAGTTTGATTGCTGATGGTGAATTTTTGCTGATTTGTATTGTTTTTTATTTTCTGTAGCCAATGGGGGAGAGACTATTGCAGTAGGCATGGTGCTGTGGTTCAGAAACGTGAATTGGGATCCCACCTATACCATTTAGTGTAGTGTCTATACGACTTTGGGCAAGGTACTTAAACCTCATAGTGAAGCAAGACAAACTCCCAGGGACTGGGCGTGTCCTTACGCTCATACTTTCTACTTCAGGAGGACAGGACTCAAAAATGAACACATGGGAGGACCAACAACAGGATTTATTTACATAGAGAATGTGAAAAGGGACGGCTAAGAGAGTGAGTCAGAAAATATTTATAGGGGGGCCTCCCTGGTGGCACAGGGGGGTTAAGTCTCAGCATTATGAAGCTGTCGGCAGCCACTGCACCATGAGTTCAATCCCTGGCCAGGGAGCTAACCCACATGGCACAGCAGACCTCTCCTATCTCACCCACTACTCCCCTCAGCATTGTATTTCAGTCAGTCTGACTGTTCTGCTCCCCACTCTGTCTCTGGTGAATCTTCTCACTCCTACCCCCGCCCCTCTGGCCATGCTTTTGTAGGCATAAATAAAGTAAATCGTTAAAAAAAAAAAAAAAATGTCTGGCACATGGCCAGATGCTCTCTGTCCTATCCCAAGTAGTGCCCACTAAGCAAAGAGCTGGGTCCAAGCTGAAGACCCCTTCCTTACCAACAGTACAACTGCCAAAGTTCCAGGCCCACCCTATCTGTATTTCCCATCTGTAGGAGAAATAGTCAAAAGCCGCCTCAGCCCATCATGGGGTAGAGTTCACAAATTGCCTTCTACCATTGCGTTGGCTATGAGTGCCACTCACTCTCAGATGTTGTTCCTCACGTTCCTCTTACAACTCCTTCAGTTTCCCCATCTAAGGGTGATGAGGGTTAAATGAATTAATACATGTAAAGTTTTAAAATAGGGATATACATAAACAGTCAGTAAATGTTCACTACTATTGTCTTCTTTGTTGCACTCAGTAGTACACTATAATTGGCATTTTTAGTCTTTGCTGAGAGACTTTTGGTCTGAATTTAGGTTTTGTTGTGCAATAAAGCACAAAGGTTGACACTCTTCAACTCTTTGTAGATTTTTGTGATCAGCCTTTTATCATTAGTGTTGTGTGCAAAAATTTTCTCCCAGTCGGTGGGGTGTCTCTTTGTTTTGGTTACTGTCTCTTTTGCTGTATGAAGCTCTGTAATTTGATGTAGTCCCAGCTGTTTATCTTTGCCTTCACTATCACTGAGTTGAGTGATGTGTCTTTAAAGATGTTACTGAGGTGCATGTCGTGTTTCGCCTATATTTCCTTCTATATATTTTATGGTTTCACGTATTATGTCTAATTCTTTAGTCCATTTTGAGCTGGTTTTTGTGCATGGTGTGAGGTCGTAGTCAAACTTCATTCTTTGGCATGTAGCGACCCATTTCTCCCAGCACCATTTAGTGAACAAACTTTCCACTGTGGAAAGCTGTGGAGATTCCTCAACCTGCTAAAGCTGGAGCTTCCATATGATCCAGCAATTCCACTCCTAGGTGTTTACCCAAAGGACACAGAAACATTAATTCAGAAGGGCACCTGCACCCCTATGTTTATAGCAGCACTGTTTACAATAGTTAAACTATAGAAACAACCCAAATGCCCAAAAATAGATGACTGGATCAAGAAGATGTGGTACATGTACACAGTGGCATATTACTCAGCAATCAAAAAAGATAAACTCATGCCATTTGCAGCAACATGGATGGAGCTGGAAGGGATCATGCTCAGCGAAATAAGCCAGAAAAAGAAAAATACTGGATGGTCTCACTCATAGCAGGAATTTAGAAAACCTAAATAAGGGACCAGGAAAAAGAATAATTATAATAAAGTAAAAATCAATGAGCAACTATAAACCAGAGACACAGTATGGGGTGGGGGGGTGGGTAGGAGGGATTACGGTCAAAATAAGGGGGGTGGGCATTGTATGGGGAATGTAACCAAGATGAAAATGCACGCATTATGCAAAAATGAAAAATGTAAAAAATATATAAAATAAAATAAAAATTAAAAAAAAAAGCACAAAGGATTTTAAGTGTTTTAGAAATGAATAGGGATAAATGTTATGTTTCATCTCTTCCTCTATCAACTCCCAACCCCATTAAGTATTCATTTACCTCATCACTGTATATCATTTTTCACTGTATTAAAAAAAAAGATAGTGGCGACCATGGCTGTCTTTTAACTTCTGAGTTTTTCCTTAAATGACTGATCTGTTTTTTACAACTACTGGTTATTAAATGTTTATATAGAATCATAGTTTTCATTTGTTTCTACCCACCCCACCCACTGCAGCTTCTCCACAAGCCTGACAAGTTTCTCCTTTCTGAAATTTCAGTTAGATCTGGGGGCTATAGAGGAAGGGCAGATGGACCTGGGTGGATACCCTTCTGCCTTCCTTGACCCAAGCAGATGTCCCATGGGGAATAAACATCACTGGGCACGGTTAGTCAGGATTGTCCTCCTGTATGTTCATGGACCACTCTTCCCCCACTTACTGATTCTGGTCTCCCTCAAAGCTGGATGCTTTCTATGGGCCAGATCCACTTGTGTCCCAACAAAACTTACAAGACAGCTGATTCCTTTTACTTAGGCCACAGTGTAGGGACATTTCTAAAATAGCTATAGGCTACTGTCATTTTTTCAGGTTGGGATAATACCAGGTTTGAGAAAATTTGTTCATTCTTATATGTGCAGAGCTGATTTTCTTAATTAAAGTGAAAAGCATAATTGTAAATGTACAACTTAGTGAGTTTTGACATTTATACCCATGTGTAACCAACACACAAATCAAGATACAGAATATTTCTGTCACTCCAGAAAGTTTCCTCATGCCCTTTGCCTGTGGATCACTGCCTGTCATGGGAAACCCTGGTTCTGATATCTATTAGAAATGAAATCATTAGTTACATCTTTTTATTTCTTGAGTCTTTTAACATGTTTTTTAACATAGTATTTTTCAGATTCACTTGTGTTACTGTATTAGTATTTTATTTTTTTTAAAAAGTTTCCCCAGTGGTATTGTTGTATGAATAGGCCACAATTTGTTTTTCTGGTCTCTTTTCTGATGGAGATTGGATTGTTTCACATACTTGGCTACTGTGATGGAACAGTCAGAACACTTTGTAAGTCTTTTTGTAGACATAGGTTTGTTCCTCATGAGCACTTACCAAGTCCAGTTGCTATGTCTTAAGGTTGGTGTATATCTAAATTTTTAGAAAGCTGCAAACAGTTTTCCAAAGTTGTGCCTGTGCCATTTTAAACTCCCCAGCAATGAGTGGAGGCTCCTGTTGCTTCATATCCTCACATTTAGCATCACCAGTCTTTCATTTTAGCCATTCTGGGGGGTATAAAGATGCCTCTTATGGTGGTTTTAATTTGAATTACACTGATGTGTAATTATTTTTGCATGTTTTTATTGACTGTATATCTGCTTTTGTGAAGTGTCAAGTGTCACTGATTTTTTTAATTGAATTGTCACTTTATTGTTTACCTGTTAAAGGTGTTGTTCACATATATATTCTGATGTAACACCTTTATCAGGTTTAAGTTTTATAAATATTTTCTCCCAGTCTGTTGCTGTCTTTGCATTTTCATTACAGTATCTCTAGATAAGCAAAACACTTTCATTTTGGTGAAATCCAATTTATTTTTTCCACTTACAATGCTTTCTGTGTTCTCTCCAAGAAATCTTTGCTCACAGAGATACTCTTATGTCTTCTACAACCTGTACAGTTTAACTTACACTTAGTTCTAGGACCTAATGAATTAATTTTCATAAGGGATATAATTTATTTTCATATGTTTATCTTCATCATTGTTGGGTGAAGACTTTCTTTTCCTCATTAAATTTTCTTGGCGTCTTTGTCAAAAACAATTTTGTGGGTATGGCTGTTTCTGGATTTAATTCTGTTCTGTTCAGTTTATTTATGCTTAAAGCAGTGCTATCTTTTAGTAGGTCTTGTTGCTCTTTACAGTTGCTTTGGGATTCTAGGCCCCTTGTGTTTCCACATTTACCTTAGAATCAGTGTCTATTTTTTAAAATCCTGTTGGAATTTTAATCAAAATGTCTTGAGACTTAGTACAGAAATTTCAAAAATTGCTTTTATAGAAGTTTTGATATTTTTTGGGGGGAAGGGGCCTTAAAATAAACTCTTGTTTTATTTTCATGCTTTTAATTCAAAATATGTAGGTTTGACTTGAATCTGAAGTTTTCTTTTTGAATATTTTTTTATTTTGTTGCAGTGTTGATTTCTGAAAGGCTTACCTTATTTTAAAAAAAAAAATGTATTGTGTATACTAGTAATACTTACTGTGTAAAAATAAAAGAAAAATGGAATGATACAGATAAGTAAAAAGGGGAAAAAATATGAGCATCTTTAAGCATCACAAAGTTAACCATTCTGTTAATATTATGGGGCATGACCTTCCAGACTTTGTGTGTGTGTGTTTATGGGGATACACATACACATATT